AGTACTTTTTGAGGGCACCAGCTTGATAACTAGAAAGAGAAGCACCAACCATGAAAGTATCCTATCACGCATTCCAAACTCAAGCATATATGATTTTACTTGTTTTTAGTCATTGTTCTTTGAGAAAATAACCAAGAATGAACACACTTGTAAATGAACGTGGTGGCTGGCTGAGTCTCACACATCTGGATAGCACCGCGGATGTTAACAACTCAGCATGTATAGAAAATATTTATTGTTCGCTGTTAGAAACCAACCGCGGGAGCCTTCTCTGCATAGCTGCTCGTTCTCTTTTAGAAACATAGAGCAAATAGAGAATTCTTATTTGCATGTTACACTTCACTAACTTTATCTCAAAATTAGCTCTTTCATTCAAGATGTAGATAACTTCTAGAGTTATCAAAAACATCTCTGAGCTACTTTCTTTTTCTGTAAGAAACAGCTGATGGAGTTGGCCAAAAAATCAAAAAATGCCCATAGGCTTTTGGAAAGTCTCATCTTGGGGCCAAATGGGTAGCTATTCGATTCGGTTATGTGATCACACACTGCCAAAGAGTCAACATTAAAATCCATTCCATAATCCCTTTAAATAGCAATATTAGATTTAGATGCTTTACAGACTATGGTTGTATTCAATCTTTACACCAAGCCCACGGGAAAAAACATTGTTTTCTTTCTGTAAATGAGGAAACGGAAGTTCTCTCAGCTGACACAGCCTGCTCTATCTAAAATGAGGGAGAGCCAGGATTCAAATCCAAGTTTCACTACGTTACATTGTCTCAGATGACAAAGTAGTCATTACATTACTCAGAAATAAAAATGAGAACATTTTTACAAGTTACTACAATCGAACTGTTTTATTAAACATATGAATGTACTTATTTTGTACAAAACGCAGTAACACTTCCTTTCCTCTGCCCCTGGAGGCACCACCACAGAACTTCGTGTTCACAGAAACATACGGTCATGACAAGCAGCAGTCACGACAAGCAGGAAAGTGCAATTCTGAAAGTAATGCCACACAACCAAAGTGGGACAGAAACAGGCAGAGGCTAGCAGGTTACTCAGTTAGGGCTCTGCCTACAAGGCCCTGGTCCTGCTCATCTTCTTTCAGCAGCAGGAAAAACTTTAAAAAGAGAAACTCCCAAACACTATGTAAGTACTCTCCTGGTAGCGTCCTTCCGATTCCATTATCTTGATGTTGTAACAAGCTTATTTGTAGCTTCCTCAAGAAATGCCATCCTGGATTGCATCCCTGTCAATTGTCCATCTCCCTCTGAGCTTCAAACAAAACAAAATAAAACAGAAGAGCAGTATGTTTCAAAAGGACGTCAGTAGAGACCTTTTAGACATGAAACCTACTTCCTAGAAGCCACCTGGCTGAATGTATGCAGAGCTGGAGACAAGAGACTGTGAAACTAGGTCCAGCTGTAAAATATCTCAGGTACCCAATTAGATCCAGTTATTCTGCATCTGTGGATTTAAAATGATCATCATCCACAGTAGAATAGATGTGCCCCTCATTGCTCAGAAAATCCACAGCTTGCCTAGAAAGAAAGAAAGAAAAAAGTCATTTTCAGGCCAATGCAGAAGAAAACCGTCTTTCAGATATGGCCAAATATGCAAATTTTGCTCTTCTCCCAACTTTCTACCGTAGCTAAGAATTGACAACTACTTTGCACATAGAAGGCTCAGAGGGAGAACTGCCAGTAAAATTACAAAACAGCTTATTCATGGGGACAATAGCTGTTAGGGCTGTCTTGGATCCCTCTCCCACACTGTGTAAAGGAAAGACAACAGGGCCTCACTTAAATACAGACTAAGCAGGAAAGCAAGGATCTAAAGCTGCAGTCGCGCACACAAAATCTCCTAGTAGAGACAGTTGTCTTTAACAGTCCCCCTTTTCTACCCACACACTGAAACCCCTTTGGTCCCCCTCTGGGAAGTAAAGTTGTGGGAAGCAAAGGAAACACTATAAAACCTTCAAATCTTTTGGGCTGGGTGTGGTGACTCACGCCTCTAATCCAAGCACTTTGGAGGCCAAGGCGAGCGGATCACCTGAGGTCGGGAGTTCAAGACCAGCCTGACCAACATGGTGAAACCCTGTCTTAAAAAAAAAACAAACATTTCAAGGTCCTCAGGGTCAGGGTCAGTAACTTACTTACTTATCCATTTATTCATTCATCCATTCAGACAGTTTCACTTTTGTTGCCCAGGCTGGAGTGCAATGGAGCCATCTCACCTCACTGCAACCTCCCCCTCCTGGGTTCAAGTGATTCTCCTGCCTCAACCTCCTGAGTAGCTGCCACCACACCCAGTTAATTTTTGTATTTTCAGTAGAGATGGGGTTTCTCCTTGTTGTCCAAGCTGGTCTCAAACTCCTGACCTCAGGTGATCCACCCACTTTGGCCTCCCAAAGTGCTCGGATTACAGGGGTGAGCCACCACACCTGGCCCAGTAACGTAAATAGTCACAATCAACAGATCACCTAAGTTACAGCAGGTCTCTACCTCATCAGCATAGCAACTCTGAAATAGGAATTATCCTTATTTTATAGGATAGGAAATGGAATTAGTTCTGAGCTTTCTTTTCTATCTAGGCCTGGCATATATCACTTAATTTATAGTAACAAATAACTATCACAAGCGCCATAAGTCAGTTTGTTTGATTAGTTTACTATACTGGAATCAGGAGGCTGCTTCTCTAAGATGGAATCAGGACAAGGGTGTTGGAAGAACTGATTGTTGAATAAGGTCCAGATGGTACACTCAGTCTACTGTGGGGACACTAAACAGCAATGGGAGTGTACACCTGAGGACCAAGAGCTAAGGACTTCCCTCCTCCAGTCTAAATCCCATAAGGAAATCAGGTCAACTTTTTGCTCAGAATTATTATATATCCCCCATCTATTACGGTCCTTAGTGTTTGCTGAATGAAAAACTTTATTGAATGAGTGATGTGATGGGTAGCACCATTTTAGTGCATAGTCTTTTCCTATTTTTTCCATAGCTGAACAATTTCCATTGTCAATAGGGTTGTCTTTTTTTTTTTTTTTTGGTGACAGTCTAACTCTGTCATCCAGGATGGAGTGCAGTGGCACAATCCTGGCTCACTGCAGCCTCGACCTTCTGGGCTCCAGTGATCCTCCCACCTCAGCTTCCTTGGTAGCTGGGACTACAGGCATGCGTCACTGTGCCCAGCTAATTTTTCTGTATTGTTTTTGTGAAAACAACGGTTTTGCTGTGTTGCCCAGGCTGGTTTTGAACTCCAGAGTTCAAGCAATCTGCCCACCTTGGCCTCCCGAAGTGCTAGGACTATAGGAATGAACTACAGTGCTTGGACAACTTATACTTTTTTTTTGAGACAAAATCTCGCTGTCACCCAGGCAGGAATACAGTGGAGTGATCTTGGCTCACTGTAACCTCCACCTCCCAGGTTCAAGAGATTCTCTTGCCTTAGCCTCCAAACAGCTGGGATTACAGGTGTGTGCCACCACACTTGGCTAACTTTTATATTTTTAGACAGGGCTTCACCATGTTGGCCAGGCTGATCTCGAATTCCTGACTTCAGGTGATCCACCGTGCCTGGGCAACCAAGTTTTACTTTTTTTTTCTTTCTTTCTTTCTTTTTAAAGACGGGGTTTCACCATGTTGGTCAGGCTGGTCTTGAACTCCTGACCTCAGGTAATCCGCCCCACTTGGCCTCCAAAGTGCTTGGATTACAGGCGTGAGCTACTACGACCAGCCCCAAGTTTACTTTCTAAACTCACTTCTCATTATCAGCAAACCCTTGTGAGGTGAAATAGGTACAATGCCAGAGCCTGAGCTCATGAGAATCAAATACTTACTTGATTGAGGGTACAGACATGTGTTTCAGCTGGTTCTTGAGATCTTGAAAGTTCAACCCTTCAGGTCTTGGACAAGCCTTAATCAAATTCAGCACCTGAAGATTCAAATCAGAAAGACTTTAGCAACTATTTTGAATTAGCCTTCCCTTTGCAAACCTGAGTCCCTTTATAGGAAAGGAATGAACCAGGTACTTAAACGGTCTTAGTTCATTAAGGAAGTAACAAAGTTTAAGATGGTCTGTGATGGTGTTTACCTGGTTTTGGGCCACAGTGAGGCCATTTGCTGGCATAAAGCTATTCCCACCAAAGTTCCCTGCTTCACTCATTCCTGGATTGCTGATAGGTGCTCTCCCTGCTGAGGGCTGAATTAAGAAATAAGTTAACAATATTAAGAAAATCCACCAAGTTAAACACAAGTCTTTACTGCTTCAAATAGCCAGTTAAGCAGCTTACAAAAAACAATTTAAACAAAGTTTCCCGGTTACACTGCTTGCACTGGAATGGACAGTTATTATCGAATGAGTGTTTCATAGGAAGATAGAGTAACTCTCTGAAGCTCATAAATATCAAAAAGAGAAAGATAACTCCGCCTCAAAAAAAAAAAAGGAGAAAGCCACTCTTGGTTCCTTTTGTTTGTGATGTGAGAGGAACCACAGAAGAGCAGCAGGGAGAAGAAAATTACTCCCCCCTCAAAAAAAGAAAATTCCCCAGAGACTGCTATTACGGCATCCTTGGGGTTCCCTCACCCAAGCACTCACTGAGTGTCCGGAGGCACGGAGCACTGCAGGCAGAGAAAAGGAGACAGTCCCTATCATCCTCGTTCCTTGTTTACTTCCAAATTCTTCGAATGCTCTGCAGTCACTATTTTCTTTCCTTTCTCCCCAGTCACTCCTCAGCCCACCATGTCTAGGTTCTCCCCAAGCACACCTCTGAAACTGTTTTCACCAAAGTCACCAATAACTTTTCAACAATTATCCAAGAGCCTCTTTCAGTCCTTGGCATAATTGACCTTTCAGAAGCAGACACTGCTGACCACACTCCTCTTGAAATGTGTTCCTCCCGTGGCTTCCTGACACCGTATTCTTCTGGTTCTCCACTTGCCTCTCAAACTAAACCTTCTCAGTATCCCTCATTAGCCTCTTCTATCTTGTCTCCCAAAAGGCTGACAGTGCCCCCAGGATTTCATTCCAGACCGCCTCCTAGGCCACGAATCCTCACTGCCACCCATCTAACTGGATACCTCCACTTAAACATTTGAGACGCCTCAAAATAAAATAAAATTCATTACTTTCCTCCCTAAACCTGCTTGCCCTCTTATATTCCATCTGAGTAAAACGAAACCCAGTCCCGAGGACCTCAGTCATCATTTACTCACTTTCCTCAATCTGTCAGCACAGCCTATCACTGACAGTGTAGCTCAAGTGGATCCTCATTAGCCCTGGTCTCCCGGGTGGCACCCGAGCCTCTGGCCTCTCCTACTCCCATCAACCCTCCCATTGCTATGAGTCATAACCTCCTCTAGTCCCGCCACTCCTCTACTTAAAGCTTTCAAGCAGCTCCCTCTGCCTGTGGAAAGTGTAAAGCTCCTGCTATTCATCTGTATATGATTCTTGACCACGCCTTCAGAATACACTTTACTCCCCAGCTGCACTGGGACTTCTTGCCATCCTGAAACATGCCGCTGATCTGAACATGTTGTTCCCTGTCTGGCATGCTCTTCCCCTCATCTACCTGGTAAACACTCTTCTCATCCTTCTAAATCCAACTCAATTGCCACGGCCTTGTAAAGCCTCGCCTGACATCCCCCAAGCCAACTAAAGCCATTTTCTTTCTTCTCGGCTCCCAGCGCTTGCACAGCACCATCACGCTGTGCGTCACTTTCCCACGCAAGTCCTCCCGTTGTTGCAGCGTGCTTGGTGGACAGCATGTGCCGTCAGTGCTTCGTCTACTGAACTGAATCAAAAACAACAACAGAGGACCAAATAGACTCAAGTGCCCACAACTGATTAAGAGCACCGTGAAAGCTCATCAGGAGAAATCCTGTCTAGTCAGGAGATTCACTTGTTCAACAAGGGCTCATTAAAAGCCTACAGTCCACCAGGCAGGGTGGGCCATGCCTGTAATCCCAGCACTTTGGGAGGCTGAGGTGGGAGGATCACTTGGGCCCAGGAGTTCAAAACCAGCCTGAACAACACAATGAGTCCCCATCTCTACCCAAAAAATAAAATAAAGAAAAACAAGGTCCCTTGAAAGCGTCAATCTTTAGCCCTTTTCATAACTGAGACTACAGGTGCACACCACCATGCCCAGCTAACTTTTAAATATTTGTGGAGAGGCCGGACTTGGTGGCTCACTCCTGTACTCCAAGCACTTTAGAAGACAAGGAAGGTGGATGACCTGAGGTCAGGAGTTCAAGACCAGCCTGACCGACATGGTGAAACCCGTCTTAAACAACAACCAAAAAAAAATGTGTAGAGACATAAACATTTGTGGGGAATCTTACTATGTTGTCAGAGCTGGTGCTGAACTTGGCCTGAAGTGGTCCTCCAGCCTTGGTTGCTCAAAGCGCTGGGATTATAGGCATGAGCCACTGTGCTTGGCCCATTCTCACTTTTCACCCATTTTTATCATATAATATTTGACACATAAATATGTTACAAAGTATAGTAATAAAAGAAACACTCTGAACTTTGTACCCATCCTCATTGTCTTTAGCTCACTTCACCGCTCCATCCTCTACTGAGTCTCTTTTGAAGATCCAACAGATCTCTTTCATAGTCTTCCTTGACTTCAGGCAGAATTCCATAGTCTATCTCTACTCTCTATTTCTTGAAATACCCCTTCCAGAATATTAACAAAATCATACCTCCTGGTTTTCCTTCTGCCTAACCAGCCACTTATTTGCCTTACATTGGTTCCTATTCTGTTTCTAGACTTCTAAAGCCTAGTGTGGCCCAGAATTCAGGTCTCTGCCCTCTTAAGTCCCTAGTTATCTCATCATTTAAGGCTCTACATATCAGCTACACGATGATGACTCCCAAAGTTCTATCTCTATCCGTGGCCTCTTCCTTGAGTCCAGCTTTATATATTCAGTGTCCACTCTATACTTCACTGGGATATGCAACCGGCATCTCCTACTTGGTGGCTCTAAAACAGAACTCTGGATTTTATCCTCTAAGGAGTCAGTTTTCAATCCTCCCTTTTATTTCTAATATCGAATCCAACAATAACTCTTGTTAGCTCTACCTTCAAAATATATGGGAACCCATCACTTCTTATCCCAAGAATCATTTCCCTGAATTATTTCTGTGGCCATTTCTGGTACCTCATACTCTGTTCTCAGAACAGCAGGCTGAATGCGGTTTTTCTTTCTTTGAGACGAAGTCTTGTTCTTGTCGCCCAGGCTGGAGTACAATGGTGGGATCTCGGCTCAGTGCAACCTCCGCCTCCTGGGTTCAAGCGATTTTCCTGCCTCAGCCTCCCAAGTAGCTGAGATTACAGGCACCCACCACCATGCCCAGCTAATTTTTGTATTTTTGGTAGAGATGGGGTTTCACCATGTTGGTCAGGCTCGTCTTGAACTCCTGACCTCATGATCCACCTGCCTCGGCATCCCAAGTGTTGGGATTACAGGTGGGAGCCACCACACCCGGCCCTGAATGCGCTTTTTAAAATGTAAGGCAGACCACATCACTCCCTGGTCAAAACCTTCCAAAAGTTTGGTATAAATTAGAATAGGCTGGACATGGTGGCTCATGCCTGTAATCCCTGCACTTTGGGAAGCCAAGGCGGGCAAATCACTTGAGACCAGGAGTTCAAGATCAGCCTGGCTAAACGGTGAAACTCCATCTCTACTAAAAATACAAAAATTACCCAGTTGTGGTGGCGTACACCTGTAATCCCAGATACTTGGGAGGTTGAGGGAGGAGAATCACTTGAACCTGAGAGGCGGAGGCTGCAGAGAGCCGAAATCAAGCCACTGCACTCCAGCCTAGGTAACAGAGTAAGTCTCCGTCAAAGGGAGAAAAAAAAAAAAAAAAGACCAAAGAAAAAATGTGAATAAAGGCAATCGTTACCATGGCCTCCAAAGCCCCATATAATCTGGGCTCTGCCTCCTTGCCTACAACCCTCTCCCTCTTTCCCTGTCACTGGCTTCACTCCAGACACCGCCTTCTTGCTGGTTTCAGAGATGCCACGCTCACTCTACACTCCTGGCTCTTGCACTTCTTAGTCCCTCTGGTTTGGGATGTTCTTCTCCATCTAAAATTGTACCATTTTTGCTCCCTCCATCACCTTCTTCTCCCATTTTGCTTTACTTACTTCAGAGCGCCTATAGCTACCTAAAATTCTATTAATATTTTTGTTGATTGCTTGTTTCTCCCAAGAATGTAAGTACATCGTGTTCACTGCTATACTCAAAGGGAGACTCCAGCGATTGGCACTATCAAATCAAAGTAGGCTCAGTAAATCTTTTTCTTTTTTTTTTTTTTTTTTTTGAGACAAGGTTGCTCTGTTACCCAGGCTGGAGTGAGTGGCACAATCATGGCTCACTGCACCCTTCATCTGCTGGGCTTAAGTGATCTCCCAAACTCAGCCTCCCAAGTACCTGGGACCAGAGGCATACACTCCCATGCCCAATTAATTCTTTAATGTTTTTTTGTAGAGACAGGGTCTCCCTATGTTGCCCAGCGTGGTGTCTCCAACCGGGCTCAAGTGATGCTCCTGCACCAGCCTCCCAAAGTGCTGGGATTTCAGGCACGAACCACCACCCCTGGCCCTGACAGCTTTCTAATACTAGAGTCAACAAATCTTTTGTGTGGTCCTAGATGGGACTTGCCAAAGTAAATTCACACAACAGAAAATACTATGGAGAAATTTCAATAGGAACCAAGAAATATAATTTCAGGGAAAAAATAATGGTACATAATTTTTCCTACTTGGTCAACAAGTTGGAAGGAAAGCAGCAAAATGCTATCTTGAGGGGGGCTACTCTCTGAATATGCACTAACAATCCTGGAGCTAAGAGCTCAGCCTATAATTACATGTCTACACCTGAGGATTGTCACAGGCCTCAGCTGTCCAGGCCAGTGGAGTCAGAGGAACTCACAATTCTGAGAGAAACATGAGGTTTTCATCTGGAGTAAAATACAGTGACAAAGCCAATGGAGAAAGTGTTCTGAGGATTTAATGATGCCTTTCTCTGGCTCAACCTTCAAAATGTCAAGGAAATCAAAGCTGGAGCACAAAAGTAGCCTATGTTCTTCCAGGGAAGAGAAAAAGCTAGGAAGTAAGGCTACTCACCTGGCTATTGGCTTTGCTTAGTATCATGTGTGCATTAATCACTTCTAGAATATGTGCAGTGAACTCATTCATATCCTCCAGGGGCATGATCTTAAAGGCTACCAGGCTCTTTTTGTTCTATTAAAATGAAGAGAAGAATGTGAATAAATGATGAACATACATTAATTTTGGGTCAACATTGTGGCTCTTTTCTTGGTTATAATATTAATATTTCACCAATATGAGAAAAATGGTATATGCTTAAAATTTTAACTCAGAGATAATCAAAATACAGTCAAACATGAGGAGGAAAAAAACTAAAACTAATAGCTAAGGGACATTAGTAATTTTCCCAAGGTTGCATAACCGAGCAAAATCTAGACTCCTGACTCTGAATCTAGTATTCTCCTTTCTCCAACTAATGGATTCCACAGATGGCAATTGTAGAAGGAGATTTTGTTCATTCTTTACCATTTTGTTAGTTTCATGTTAAGGTAAAAACAAAAAAAAGCCCTGTTATTTCCTTTTGAAGAAGACAATAAATAAATAACTTCCCATTAAACATGGAGACTTAAATACTTTATCCAAAGCCATGACATGAATCTAGAAACTGCTTCATGAAAAAACACTTTACTATTGAATTCAGACTTTACCTGAAAAGATCTCAGGTGGCCTGCCACTTTCACATATGTTTCTGGAGGAACCACAGTGTTTTCACTGCTGGCGTCCTAACATAAAATACAAACATGTCATTAGGGTTTTAGTGATGCTGGTGAAAGCCTCTTTAGCATTCCAAAATTATGCATAGAAAGACAAAGTTATAAAGTAGAAGAGTTAAAGGATTCTAAAAGGCATTAAGTAGTCTGCCCTGCCTTTTACAACTTACTTTTTGGAAAATCAGAAATTACAATAAAAATATCTTTCAAAGTTCTGTAGCACATCATAAAAAGGCAAACTATTATGACACTGTCGTCGTTCAAGCTCTTAGGCACACAATTCTCTCTCTCTCTCTCTTTTTTTTTTTTTTAGAGAGAGACTCTCGCTGTGTCACCCAGGCTGGAGTGTAGCAGTATGATCTTGCTCGCTGCAACCTCTGCCTCCCAAGACAGGGTTCAAGGGATTCTCCTGCCTCAGCTTCCCGAGTAGCTGGGATAACAGGCGTCTGCCACCCCACCTCAGCTGCCCAAAGTGTTGGGATTACAGCTGTGAGCCACCACACCCAGCAGGCACATAATTTTTTGGTGGATATAGTTATTGACAAAGCAATTCTACTTACAGGAATTTAAGGAACTAATTAAGAACATGCATTAAGGGCCGGGCGCGGTGGCTCAAGCCTGTAATCCCAGCACTTTGGGAGGCCGAGGCGGGTGGATCACGAGGTCAAGAGATCGAGACCATCCTGGTCAACATGGTGAAACCCCGTCTCTACTAAAACTACAAAAAATTAGCTGGGCATGGTGGCGCGTGCCTGTAATCCCAGCTACTCAGGAGGCTGAGGCAGGAGAATTGCCTGAACCCAGGAGGCGGAAGTTGCGGTGAGCCGAGATCGCGCCATTGCACTCCAGCCTGGGCAACAAGAGAGAAACTCCGTCTCAAAAAAAAAAAAAAAAAAAAGAACATGCATTAAGATTTAGATTTATCATAGTATAGTTCCAAACACTAAAAATTTTAAAACAACCTAAATATCCAACATAAAGTCACATTTATATATAAGGATACTCCACACTGTTGCAAATAATAACATAGAATTCTATATTGTCTAGAAAAACAAATCATGACACATGGATAAAAGCTGATTTTTCATTTGGGACAATACACACACAACTTTATAATGGCTGACTAGGATAATTGCAAATAATCTAATATTTCTTTTTCAGTTTCCTATAATATGCATGCATTATTTATAAGGAAAATACATTAGCTGATTTTTAAAGTTCTTTTCTGACTATATACAATATTTTACTTAAAAAAATTTGGGGCTGGGTGCAGTGGCTCATGCCTGTAATCCCAGTACTTTGGGAGGCCAAGGAGGGTGGATCACAAGGTCAAGAGATCGAGACCATCCTGGCCAACACGGTGAAACCCCGTCTCTTTAAAAAAATAAAAATAAAAATAAAAAATAAATAAAAAATTTGAAAATATACCCGGGCATGGGGGCTCACACCTGTTATCCTAGCATTTTAGGAGGCCAAGGCAGGAAGATCCCTTGAGCTCAGGAGTTCAAAACCAGCCTGGGCAACATAGCGAGACCTTGTCTCTAAAAACAAACACAAAAAAACTAGAAAATATATGTTTAAAAATAAAAACTCTAGCCAGGTGTGGTGGCTCATGCTTGTAATTCTAGCACTTTGGGAGGCCAAGGCGGGCAAGTCACTTGAGTTTAGGAGTTTGAGATCAGCCTGCCCAACATGGTGAAACCCTGCCTCTATTAATAATATAAAACAATGGCTGAGCGTAGTGGCTCACACCTGTAACTCCAGCACTTTGGGAGGCCGAGGCAGGTGGATCACGAGGTCAGGAGTTCGAGACAAACCTGGCCAACAAAGGGAAACCCCATCCCTACTAAAAATACGAAAATTAGCCAGCTGTGGTGGTGCGCACCTGTAGTCCCAGCTACTTGGGAGGCCGAGGCCGGAGAATCCCTTCAACCTGGAAGGCGGAGCCTGCAGTAAGCTGACACCACACCATTGTACTCATGTCTTGATGACAGAGTGAGACATTGTCTCAAAAAAAAAAAAAAAAAATTAGCCAGGTGTGGTAGTATATGCCTGTAATCCCAGCTACTTGGGAGGCAGAGATGGGAGAATTGGAACCTCAGCAGCAGAGGTTGCACTGAACCAAGATCATGCCACTGTAGTCTAGCACTGATGACAAAGACTAGCTCAAAAACAAAACAAACAGCAAAAAAAGACTCTGCAAATTCCATCACCTGAACACAACCTTTTTTTTTTTTTTTTTTT